AGACCTGACTTCCAAGTTCCAGCCCCCTCCACCCGAGGAGCCTTCCCATCTCTTCCTCTTCTGGTGCCATCTTAGGAATTTAGTGCCACCTTAGATTGTACCATACCGCCTTCCTTGACCACAGCTCTTAAGAGAGCACTACGGCATCCCTCTTTGTGCCTAGGCCAGGGCCTGCCACCATCGAGGTGTTGTATGAATATCCATTGACTAAATATTGGCCGTCTGTCAGGAAAAATAACCCTAGAGAAAGCCTCAGACTGACTCCAACCATCTTCCAAAGGATCTGTGTGTGTTACCCTCAGCCTGCTTGGACGCCCTGATCAACAACAACGACAACAAATTTTCAGACCAAATGGGAAAATAAAGATACTGCTTAAAATTTTGCAAATGGCCAGAGGAATCTCTTTGGTCCCTGCTGAGGCCTGGCTCTAGCAAAAAGGCTGCTTCCTTAGCTGCAAAGCAGCTCATGGGCCTTCCTGGGGGAGTGCCTAAGTCTGCCCCTGAGCCAAGCTGGTTAGCAAAGCCAGGACTTGGAATGTCCACCCAGAGAGATGACAGCTGAGCCCCAGAGGGGATAAGCAGGCCGGGACAAGAGGCAGCCACTCAGGGACTGGGTCTGGGGGTGGCGTATTAGAAGAGGAAGGATTCTGAGTGGGGATCCAAATCTGGGACATCCCAGGCTCTCAGACACAGCTTCTCGGACCTTCCACACGAACCCGCTGAGTCCTCGCCATCCTTCTCCCAGATGGCTACGCAGCCAGCCCAGAACTCTGTGTGTTTTGGCTTTTGCCTTTATCTGGGTCCTGGTTGGTGACACTTCCCTCCTGCAGCCCTTTCCTTCTTGCCAGTTAGTCATGCCTGTCTGGCTTCCCAGTCGGAGAATCTGGTCATCAGATCTCCTAAGGGTTGAAAATCCGAGGGAGACATTCCAACCAGCCATGAATCCCATCACTCTTGTAGCGTTGAGCACCCTCAAGCCAAGATACCATTTTCCTTAATGATACAAAATGTTCTTGGCTTATGGATTGTGATTCTTGGGTCACTGTTTCCTGTTTGCAAACGTGTCACAAGTGACCCAGTTTTGTATCTAGGGGCGTGGGGACTCGAACCTAAGGTCAAACTTTGCTCTAGAAGGAGCAGGGTCTAGTTATCTCCAAAGTGGAACCCAAAACAACAAAATCAAGAAGGAAACTTCTAGCTGGGGGCGGTGGCACATGCCTGTAATCCCAGCGGCTCCGGAGGCTGAGACAGGGGGATCGTGAGTTCAAAGCCAGCCTCAGCAACAGTGAGGTGCTAAGCAACTCAGTGAGACCTTCTCCAAATAAAATACAAAGTAGGGCTGGGGATGTGGCTCAGTGGTCGAGTGCCCCTGAGTTTAATTCCGGGTACCCATCCCCCGTGCAAAAAAAGAAGGAAACCTTGAGACATGGGGACCCAGGGCTCTGCCTAACCTGCAAACCTGTGGGAATAGGGCTCACTCTATTGTGGACACAGGGCAGTAGAGTGAGCCCTGTTTTTTGAAAGTGGGTCTGAAATTTAGCAAAAGTGAGCCAGAGGGAGAGGGTGTCCTTCTGCTTCCTCATTGCAGACTCTCTCATACTTTATGAGAAGAAACCCAGGAATGGTAAAGGCAAGAGACCAAGAACCCTGCCTAGAAATGTTCACCAAACACTCAACTGGGTTGGATCAAGTTTCTCAACCTATTACCAGCTTACAGAAAAATAAGGGGTGCAGAAATAGATTAGATCATTTACAGACCATCTCAAGAGCACCCTTAGCCAAACCCCACTGTAGGAGATTCTCCAAACAACAACCGGCGTCCTCAACAAGGACGTGACGGGGAGCAGGCAGAGGGGACAATATCCAGAGACCTGGGAACAAGGACCCCGGTGGATTTGGGGTCTGATTTGATCAAGTCAAAAGAGTAAAGACATCAGTGAGACAACCAGGGAAATCTGCCCGCCCCCCAGATGTTTAAGGATGAAAAAGGGTGACTGCCGGCTTGCCTAGGTGTGGTAATGGTATTGTGGGTTTTGAGGGAGTCTTTAAGGTATTTTTGTAAAGAATCTTTTATCCTGTAGAGATAATTCTGGAATAGTTAAGGATGGAATGATATGGTGTCTGGTATCTGCTTTAAATTAAAGCACTAAGTGGAAGGTAAAGAAGAAAGGAAATTGTGCTTATGTGGATCACCACTGAACTTGGGTGGTAAATAGGTAAATGTTCATTAGATTCTCACTACTTTCGTCCAGTCTTAACAGAACAAAAATTTTCATGAAAAAAAAAAAAAAAGCAAAAATCTTGCTGTTAATTCTGGCTTCAGTACTGGCTCTGTGAGTGCCCTTGAATGAGATTTTACTCCATTGAGCCTCCGTTTTCTCACCCAGAGCCTGACCCCAGGTTCAGATCCAGGCTCAGACCTTTACTTACTGGGTGACCTTATGTAGGTTTCTTAACTTCTCTGTGCTTTGATTTCCTCTTGGGTACAAGTAAAATAAAGGCTCCACCTCGTCAGTGGTTCTGAGGACTAAGTGTGTTGGTTCTGAGGATCCTAGACACGAAGACTGTGCATGTTTGTGTCTGGGTCTTACTGGGGCTGCTATTGCTGTTGCTATTTATTATTTTTGTCATGATAAAGAGCAGATTCCTCTGGAGATACCCTCCTCTCCGAGAGCAAACAAGGCTCCAGAAATGGTTCCTGGTTCTCCCAACTTCCCCGTTGCTGGTCCAATGCTTCTTCCACAGTTTCTCTCTCTGGACAGTGACAATTCTGGACAACCCTCGTTGTCTTTCCCCCACAATCTCCTTTCATCTTCCAGCCTGTTCCCAGGCCTCTTCTCTCCCATCCAGTCCTGGAAGGAAGAGCCGATAGACAGAACTTTCCTTCCCACCCTTCTCCGGCTCTTGACCCCCTGACGCCACCTCTTACAATGCCCAGAGGGACCTCAGTGGGCCGGTTTGAAAGCCCTCTGTAAACCAGGAAACGGTGGGGTGGAGTGCAGGGAAGTCAGAAAGAACTCGGGACTTATGAATACATAATGCTGAACTTTCTGGAAATGGATGGGCCTGGTGCCAGTCCTCACTAGGGTTCCTAGATTGTATTCTTCTTACAAAAGGGCCATTATGAAGGCTCTGCATCTCCCGTGTGACAGGTTCCGAGCCACCAATGGTATGACGTCACAGGGACCAGGAGATGAATAGGTGGCCCAGCCACATGCTCATTGTCCAGGGCCTTGGAACCCTGGGAGGAGGTGTGTGGGTGGCAGGCGGACATTCCTGGGAGCCCCAGGACAGAAAATGGGTTGGTGGGATGGCCCAACACATAAACCAGAACTGCCTGCCCCACGACCACCCCCAAAGCTGGAGTGTCCAGAAAGTGTCAGCCCCGGCTTCCTCTCCTCCACCTGCACACATGCAGGGGCTGGTGACTCTGCAGATGTGGCCCCAGTGAAGTCCTTCTGGAAGAGCAGCATCCCCTCCCCCACTGTCTCTCTCTGCTTGTCTTTGGGACCATTTCTTTTCCACCCATGGGAAAGGTCCTATCATCTAGTCAGGAAGCTGCAGACTGGTCGTCAGAGCAGCTGGACTCACGTTCTAACTTGCTGAAGTCCATGTTTGTCTTCTCATAAAATGGAGAGACTGGAATTAAAGGTTGTTGAAAAGTCCCTTCCGGTTAGGATGGTCTCTTGCTCTGTTGCATGTTGGAAGTAAGTATGGAGCCATCTTCTCCACCGAGGCTGAAGAGTGCCAGCTGACCATGTCCCCACACTCCTGCCCTTCATACACTCGACTCCTCAAGGTCAAGCTCACCTCCCTATCCCCTCCACCTGCACCTCTGCCCTCTCTCTCACACACCATGCCCTTGGAGACCAGTAAGAATGCAGAAGTTTGGGTTTAGGTATACTTAATTTTCCCTTGGCGCTCTGAAGGGTGCTTGTTTGCACAATACTTACATGTATTCAAATGGCCACGCACGGTCATTCACATGGACACACTGAGGACATTATAAATTCATCAACACAGTCTAATGATTGGGCTCAGCCCAGCTCTCCAGAGCCCTGAAACCAACACAGATCTCATGAGGGAGACTAATGATTTCCCACAGTTTGATGGCAAAGGGAGGAACTATTAGAAGTTCAACTCACATTTATTTTTATCACATTCTTTTATGTGTTCTATGTCTTGCATGTGCTTTCTAGATCTCAAACCATATGGTATAACAAGTATGTCTGTCATTTATAAATGTGCCTATGACAGGGGTCCAGGGTCAAAAAGAGGTAGCATATGAGTGCATGATCCAACAAGTTGGAGCCTTCACTACAGTCCACTTCCCAAAGCTGGAGGAAGTTACAAGGTTTTAGACTGACCACAGCCAAGGGGCCCAGGGAGCATCCCAGGTAACTCCTCCAAGGCTGCACTGACCAACACACCCAAGACTCTGTAGGGCACTGGTCACACCCTTGGCAACTCCCCTGGGGCTCCTGGCATATATGTCCACTTCCTCCCAGAGTTCCCATTAGTGAGGCTTCCTCAGGCCACAGGAACCTTGGTGCCACCCAAGGAACCCACTTTCTTCCCAGAACAGGTGGTGTGTTGTCCCTCAGGACTTCTATTGTAGGAGTCCATCAGAGTTCTGGCCCTTTCTAGAACTCTCTGGGATTCACTTACTAAGGTTGAACAAATATATTTGTTATTTAGTTGAGAAAATATGAGCTTGACCTTAAAATATATAGGAAATAGGAAGGAAGGAAGGAAGGAAGGGAGGAAGGAAAAAGAAAAAAGAAACCGGCTCTCTGGAAAACTGTGAAGCCAGCCAGGCTGAGCTCCCCAGGGAGAGGACCCAGAGACACAGGCTGCTGGAATAAGCCAAGTCTGTGGAACAGGCCACTGTTGTACGAGCACTTTGCATGGTAGCCAATGCCCCCGGGGTAGACTCACTGCAGGCAGACGGTGCCTTCAGGAAAGCGAGATGGAGAGAACGGAGAGACGCGACCACTCACCCACACACTGGTTGCCTTCGTCCATCTGGTATCCAAAGCGGCACACGAGAGGCCTTGAAATCGTGGGGTAGTTTGAAGCTGATACCGGTGGGGCAGCCGCTGGGTATGGACCCGAGTAGGGGGTTGAATAGGGATTCGAGTAGGGCCCTCGGTACACCGGGTTTGTTCGGGGGATGCATAAATACCCGCCATTCTGGTTAACACACATCATGTCACCTCGGCAGGCCTCGGGGATGGTCCGGCATTCATCAATATCTGCAAAGGCCACAGAAAGGCCAAGCATTAGTAGCCCCCCCTCCACAGTGTTCGTGGAACTTTTGTTTTATGTTTTGCATTGCTGGGGATTGAACTCAGGGCCTCATACATGCTAAGCAAATGCTCTACCCCTGAGCTACATCCTCAGTCCTCACAGTATTTAAGCACAGCTTTGTACCAAGCTTGATGCGAAGAACCCCAAACACACCTCCCCAGCTCTCTTTGCAGGCAGGTGCTCCCAATTGCTGGCTGGATTGAATCAGATCATGATTTCAACCTTACCTACAAAAACCTATACTAGCACTGTCTTCAGACTTTTCTTTAAATGAACCCACATTTGAAACTCAAATTTCTTTTTTAAATTCTACATGATTACAGAAATTTTTAAAAAAACTCTCCCAATTAGCACAAACAGAAGGTAACAGTAAAGGACTGGGGTTGTGGCTCAGTGGTAGAGAGCTTGCCTAGCATGTGTGAGGCACTGGATTCAATTCTTAGCACCACAAATAAAACATGAATAAAAATAAAATCCATAAACATCTAAAAAATATTTTTAAAAAAAGAAGAAGGTAACAGTAAAAATAAAAATATAACCATTAGAATAGTGTTTATCTGTGGATATAAAACATGTTAGGTAATCTCGTCAGCGCACACTACACTCTGAAATCATGGGGATGAACCAGTGAATTGTCCCCACTTCTATTCCACATAACAGCCAAGCAGGAGAGAAAGAGGTTTGCATTAAGAAAGACCAGGCTTGACTCCAGGTGTAGTGGCGCACACCTATAATCCCAGTAACTCTGGAGGCTGAGGATGGGGGATCCTAAGCTCAAGGCCAGACTCAGCACATTAGTAACAAAAATAAAAAGAAAGACAAGTCTTGGCTGAGAGCTTGTGACAGATCTAGAAAGCTCAGTCTCGCTATTTATTGATTGATTGATTGATTGGTCCCAGGGATTGAACCCAGAGGTGCTTAACCACTGAGCCACATTCCCAGCCTTTTTTATTTTTTATTCAGAGACAGGGTTTGTCTAAGTTGCTTAGGGCTTCACTAAATTGCTAAGGCTGACTTTGAACTTGTGATCCTCCTGCCCCAGCCTCCCAAGTTGCTGGGATTTCAGGTGTGAGTCACTGCACCAGCCTAATGTTGAAGTAAGCTCCCCTGGTGCAGTAAACAGGGCCCACTTCCAGCCAGGCTGGTGCTCAGCTTGCCATTCCTAGAAGGGGAGAGGTGGTTTTCTTAAATCAGCCTTACTATGGAGAGGCCAGGGAATATCTGGACTTTGCTTCCATAGGCTGGGCACTGTCACCAGCTTTGGAATCTGTTCCGTATGGGACCAGAGACTGGATTCTGACAGCTTGCCCCACCATCCCACCTGAGAAACCTGTGCCAACTCTCACCTCAGGAAGGGGGAATGCTGAGGCTCAGCATGCAACAGTTAAAACAGGTGGGCCCTAAAAGAGGGCTGCTGCTCCCTCTTTGTCCCTTGGAACACCGTTAAATCCAAGTGTGGCACTTTAAATCCAAGTGTAAGCTAGATTTCCCAGGGCAGGTTTTATTCCTCCATCCTCAACCTCTTTCAAGCTGTGCACAGGTTAGCCAATGTGAGCTCAGGGAAGACACAGATTTGGCCCAAGTCAAATATAAGCCAAACACTGCACACGGAAGGGGAAAGGCAGGACAGGGGCTGCCTTATTCTTGTCATGCAGCCTGCTCTCCATTCACAGCACCCTGTTCTACACTGTGAATGTCCTTCCCACCCCAGGCCCTGTCTTAAGCTGCTCCTTCCCCCTGGAATGCCATCTCGCAGATCCTATTCATCCATCAATACCCAATTCCAATGGGACTCCACCACTCTTTGTGAGCCACACAGAGAGTCACCCCTCCTCTTCTTTCGCATGGTCCATTGCTTTTGTCTCCATAACCTATCTCACTATTTTATTCCACTAACCTATCTCAGTGTTCTCAGTGTCTGTCTAGATGGTCTAGACACTAGACGGTCTGCTAAAGAAGCACCCCCTGGAAGGGCCTCGTCCTAATCCTTGGAACCTGGGAATGTGCTAGGTTATGTGGCAAACGGGAATTAAAGTAGCAGATGAAATTAAGGTTGCTAATCAGCTAACCTGCAGATGGGGAGCTTATCCTGGATTATGGGGGACCCAGTGGAATCACATGAGTCCTTGAAAGTAGAAGAAAAGGCAGAGGAACTGGTCAGAGAGATGCTACAACAGAAAAGGCTGCAGAATGAGAGGCAGTGGATGCCACGTGCTGACTTTGAGGATGGAGGAGGGAGCCACAAGCCAAGGAGTCAGGGCAGCTTCTAGAAGCCACAAAGGCCCTCAGCTAACAGCCAGCCAGGAAGCAATACCTCCGTCCTACAGCCACAAGAAAGTGAATCTGCCAACAACCTCATGAGCAAGGAAATAGGGAACCCCTCGAGCCCTTGTTGTACCTGGTGGTACTTGGTAGCCCTGTGGACCAATGTTGGGCTTTTCCCAGGTGGAATGCTGAGATCATAAATTTTTGCAATCTCAGCAGCCACCATGGTGGTCCCTCATTACCACTGCCCTGAGAAACCAAGATGGATGGAAAGCTCTCGGAGGACAGAGCCCAGTTCTTTGAGCTCTCACAGTGCTCCACCGGGGCTCGACACCAAGAAAGCAACTAATAAAAGGGCATCGTTGACCTCCATCATTTCCTGTCACCATGTTCTTCCATGGCAAGGCAAATAAAGGTTTGACAATTGCCAACAACATCTGAGAAAGAAAACGGGCCTGCAATTGATCTGTTACCAAAGGTTCCCACCCGGGTGAGGGGTCTGCGGTGACACCTACCTAAACACTGTCCTGTCTGGCGATCCAGGTCAAAGCCGTTGGTGCACTGCTGCTGCAGGAAGGAAGAAATGGGCAAGGTCATTTCACTTCTTCTTTTTTTTTAGTTATTGATGAACCTTTATTTATCTGTTTATCTGAGGTGCTGAGAATGGAACCCAGGGCCTCACACATGCTAGGCAAGTGCTCTACCACTGAGCTACAACCCCAGCCCCTCACTGTTTTTTTTTTTTTTTTACTATGGAAGATGCATTGCAGAGTATTTGGGAAATGGATCTAAGAAGAAAGACATTCACGACACCAACACCTGCATCATAACCACTTATAATCATTTTATATTTTAACACTGCTTTTTTTTGGACCAGAGATTGAACTTGGGAGCACTTGACCACTGAGCTCTACCCCAAGTCCTTTTTATATTTTATTCCGAGACAGGGTCTCACTAAGCTGCTGAGGCTGGCCTTGATCTAGCAAACCTGCCTCAGCCTCCAGAGTCGCTGGGATTACAGGTGTGACCACCCTATACTTAGCTTTATTTTTAAACTCCCTGCACTATCTCTTCATAACCCCCACTTTTAGCAGATAGTTACTGGGCTTTTCAATGCTCTAGCTATGAAGAGCAATAAAGCTCACATCTGATATGTGTGATAGCATGCCCTGCCTTCACCCCCTTCCTGGACAGGAATCAAATTGTTTTTTAAGGGCAACTCTTTTTTTAGGTGCTGTTTAACTTCTACCTCCCAGAGTCCAATATAAATCCTTTGTCACCTGTGAAATCCTCTTCCTAATTCTCAGTCCTGGACAGATAGATAATAAAAACGACATGGCAAATGTGATGCGTTTTCTAAGAAAAGTAGGGTTGGGAGAATTCCTCCATTTCAGTCTCAGCAAAGGAATTACACACTGATGCTCCCAGAAAGAAATACAGCTCTACAAAACCCGAGGATTGTGGGTTTCATATACAACTTGAGCTATAACTTTATGCACTTGGAAAACAAACAAACAAAAAAAGATTGGGGCAGAGAGTCAGAGGGTCCTTCAGGAAACCCCCAAAGCCTGACATTTTATAGGGATAAACCAAGGGGCAAGAGTTTGACTGTGGGAGCTCCCACCCCAGGCCTGCCCTCCAGTTTCAGGGGTAGGGCTTCCCCAAGCTATAGTTGACTTGTGGGTGATGGGTTTGGCCTACGCTCCTGGAGAGTTAGGTGTCCCAAGGCCTCGGGTCAAAGGAAGTAGAACAGAAGAGCCAGGAGGCTGTGCTAGGGAGCACAGGAGCCGGGGTTCCAGCCTACTCTCAGCTCAGCGCTGAGGGGCTCAACCCTGCTGTTCCACGCAGCTTCAAATCCTCACTCTAGACCCAACTTGCTGCACAAATTGTGCCCCACTTTCTGCATCTGGAAAATGGGAATGATGCTACTTACTTCCAAGTGTTTGTAAAGAGTAAATATTTTAATGTACAAAAAGTTCCTAAGCCATAGTAAATAGAGTCCTGTGATTACTGTCCTCTCTGGGCCTACGTGTCTCCATCTATGCCCCATGAGGCTGGATTAGAAGACTCCAAGGTCCCTTTGAGATCTAAAATTCTTTGTTCTTTTTCCCAAGACCCTCCTCATCCCCAGTAACTCCAAATTCTTCTTTTTTTGTTTGTGCAAAAAACTTATTTTTTTTTTTGTTTGTGGTGCATTTGAGGCAAGCACTTTACCACTGAGCTACACACCTAGCCCTGCTTCAAATATGAATATGAAAGGGAAAAATATTGTCCTCCCTGCCCGCAGCCCCTCTGCACTGCTTCCAGATGGGGGCTTCTCTCGTTTCTTTCCTGAGCCAGAGACACAAGGGCAACTCTGAGTTTTTAAAAGGGATCTGCTCACATTGCTCAAGGGCTGATACATCTGGGTCTTTCCCTCCCATGACTTCTCCCAGCCCCTCACCCTGACCTACCCTCACCTGCCCGCTCCTCATTCCTCCCAGGGGTCCAGCATAAGGGTGCTCTCCCAGGTTTGGGGCTGAATCACCTAACACTGCACGTGGGGATAACACTGCACTTAACCTCGACTCCTCCTCTAGCCTCCTCCGGGAGGATGCAAAAATGGAGGCAAACACGGACCCTCAGGCTGCAGGTGGGATCCCCAGGGCACAATCCTCCTGAAGCACTAGGGCCCATTGTAGGTTTTGACATGGAAGATAAGGAGACTCTCTGAGGGACATAATTGAGGTGATCCAATTCTTAGAATGGGAGTCAGGATTCTGAGCTCTAATCCCAGCCCTGCCTCTTAGAAACTACATTCCTGGGGCCAATGGCAGCTTCTCTGTCCCAGCTACAATCTCAATACAGTGAAGAGCTCCAATTAGGTCAGTGAAAACTCCCTCCCACCACCTTAGTCTAGGATTCTAAAATGCATGACTGGACTCCCTCATCCTAGTTTTTTTTAATACATTTCTGGATAACTTTAAAAAAAAAAAATCTTACCTGTGCATTCCCAGGACATGGAAGACAGAGAGCCAGGAGGATGGTAACAGTGAGTATCCTATGGAAGGAGAGAAATTGCAAGTAAATCCCAAGATATAAATGGGTCCGAAGGGACTATGGGTCTCCCACTCCCCTGATGTTATGATGGTGACTTCTCCAAGTGCTCATATGGGGGAGAAGGGACACACTCTGGAGAGGCCAAGGAGGCTTCCAGATACCCTAACCCTAACCCCAAATAGAAGTTGGCCTCCCCCACTTGCTTCGTGTATCAGGATAATAAGTTGGGTCACACTGTTATTGTGTGTGAGGTGCTGGAGATGGAACCCAGGGTCTTGTACATGCTAGGCAAGCGCTTTCTAACTGCCCCTAGATCACACTTTCTTAATGAATGCTGCTTCCGAAAAAAAAAGAAAAGAAAGAAAGTTTTTAAAAAAATGTTACTGTGAGATTCACAATGCATTGACCAGTTGAGTTTTGAACGTCTCATTCTGAGCTAGCTACGTAGTCAATAAGCCGTTATAAGCCATGATGCCCACAGACCACAATGGAAGGAGAGCAAAGTGGGAATGCGAGGCACTTTGAGTTCCACTGAAGAAAGGGGTCACAGAAGTCACCTAATCACAGCTTTGAGCCCTTTGTCCACACACATGAGAATCCCCCTGGTCAACAGATGGCTTGATGATCCAGTCCCCCAGTGCCAGTCCCACGGTGTGAACTGCAGGAACTGCCACACCAGCAGGCCCCCTCGGAAGAAGGACTGGGGGACAAAGGGGAAGAGCTCAGAAACCACAGGTCAGGTCAATGCTGTCACCCACAAGCCACAAAACCTCAGTACCTACCTGCAGTCTGACCCTTCATCACTCCCAAGCTTTGCTTTTTTCTTTCCTTCTTTCTTCTTCTTCTTTTTTTTTTTTTTTTACAGTGCTGGGGCTTGAACCCAGGGCCTTGCACGGGCTAGGTAAGGGCTCTACTATACTGAGCTATATCTCTAGTCCACAAGCTTTTTTCTGATAAAACTGCGATCACCAATGTGGCTTAAAAGTCTGAGCTGGGTGCAGTGGCACATGCCTGTAATCCCAGGGATTCAGGAGGCTGAAGCAGGAGAACCACAAGTTCAAAGGCAACCTCAGCAATTTAGCGAGGCCCTAAGCAACTTAGCAAGTCCCTGTCTCAAATTAAAAAATAAAAAGGGTTGGGGATGTTGCTCAATGGTTAAGTATCCCTGGGTTCAATCCCTAGTACAAACAAACAACAAACAAAAACCTGTCTGTATCACTTCACACCCATTCAGATGGTTATTAGGAAAAAAAGAAAACAACTAAAAATAACAAGTGAGAGCAAGAATATAGGGAAATTGAAACCCTGTGCAGTGTTGGAGAAATGGTGCAGCCACTGTGGAAAAGAGTGTGATAGTTCCACCCCAAATTAAACAAAAACTACCACATTATGCAGCAACTCTACTCCTGGGTACACACGCAAAAGAACTAAAAGCAGGGATTCAACAGACACTTGCACACCGATGTTCACAGCAGCATTACTCACAATAGCCAAAAAGTGGGCACAATTCAAATGTCCATGGCGGATGAATGGCTAAGCAAAATGTAGGTAGGTGTATGTATGTGTACATACATGTGTACACATGTGAACATTCATGCACACACAAAGGAATATTATTCAGACTTAAAAGGAAGGAAATTCTGAAACACAATACAACATAGGCAAACCTTGAGGACATTAAGCAAAATATGCCACTCATTAAGAAAAAAAGACAAATACTGTACAATTCCACTTACATGAGGTACCTAGAGTTGCCAAATGCATAGAGAAAAGTAGGATGGATGGTAGTTGCCAGGGCCAGGAGAAGTGGAAAGAGGAAATTATTGCTAATGGGTAGAGTCTCAGCCTGCAAGATGAAAAGAGTTCTGGAGTCTGGCTGTACGGTACAGTGAATGCTCAGAACACTACTGAACGGGCTACTTCAAATGGTTACATGGAATACAGAATCCATGCAAATGTACAGCTTTATTAAGGGCTATCATTATTCTGTTCGAATAGCGATTTGTCTGAGCAACTACTGCCTGCAGCAAGCACATTAGGCAGAGAAGCTACAAAACTGTGACCTGGTTGCTCCCCAGGTGAGCTGATTGGGGATCTACAGGAATCCACTGGTAAGAGCACTGATAGAAATATGCACTGGGTGCCATGAAGCCAGGCTGGGGGAGGGGCGGGAAGGTCAGGGAAGACTTCCCTAAGGGACTGATCTTGAAGCCATCATCTAGGACAGTGGACCTGGGACCTGGCTGGATTTGGTGATCTGTAACTGCCCAAGTGCATCACCACTATGTAATCCCTCCCTTAACAGAACGAGTGCTGGATAGATTACAAAGCTCACCCACATCCTCGACATATGGTTCATGTGAAGCAGCAACTCTGGGTGCTCAGACAGCCAGAGTTAAGGTGACATCCAGAAAGAACAGAGTCCCAATATGGTACTAAATGCAAGTCTACTTCCTTCATCTTGTCCCCAATCCAAAGAATAAAGACCCTGAGCAGCCACAAATTTTTACTTCACCTAAGAGCCTGTGTCAGCCAGGTTCTAGAACACTGGAGACAGTTCTGACCTTATAAAGTACAGAGCCAAATCCTAGGGCTTTTTGATATTTGCAATGGCCAGATTTATATCTGGAAGGAATGAAAGAACAATAACAAATTTATTTTCCAGTCTGTATATTATGAATTTCAATGTTTTCCTGTTTCTTCACATGAAGTTTCCTTTCGGGTGGTTATAAAATCCTGTCTCGTTTATGTTGGAGACAGAACAGGCTGACTGCATGCAGTGAACTTCAAGAGCTAGTGGAAAAGGCGTGCTAACCCCGCCCCTCCCCTACTCCTGCTCTCCATTCCCTTTGGCTGGAGGCAGCACCGGGAATGTCCAACACCAAAGAGCCACAGCTGGGTCCTGGGGGCCAAATAAGCTCCAGGCTAATGAAGAGGGTTTCCAAAATGAAATAGTACCCAAGCACTGCTGCTCCCACAGCGTCACAAATAGCTGCACCTTGTCATGAAAAACCCTAGAAAACGCCAAAAAAAATGAACTAACCACAGTTAATGCTGGAAAGGGAAAAGGAATAAATGCCCAAACTGGTCCCAGGAACTTTCAAAATCAGGTGGGTCCACCCATTTTGTGCCCCATCCTAAAATATGAGGAAAGCTGGGAGACCAAGGGAATATCAGGACTGCCTGTCATTGAACCCGCTGGTCCCAAGCCAGCATGACATTATCACAGCTTCGTTTTCAGCATGCAAACACACACACTAACACACCCATACAAGGTTAATTTATGCAAAACAGCTATGTTTTCAAGAGTTGGCCAGAGAAACACTGTGCAGATGTCATGTAGATAAAGTTCTGCAAGACTTAAGGATTACTTGACTGGAAGTGCAATTTCCGCAAAGAATAACAAAACATTTGCTTACATGTATCTCTGTCTGCTGTCCCCACTTTTCATTGGTTCAAAACTTCTGGGTCCCATGCCCTTTGTGGATCCCACACAGACATAGAGCAAATTCAGCCCGCGATGTTCAGCCAGTAGATTTTGCTTGTCCAACAGCCTAGGCAGCAAAGCAATGGCTAGGGAACTAGGAATCGCTCTCCCAAGTTTAAAAGATATATAGGGTGTAAAAAAAAAAAAAAAACTGTGCACCAATTTGCCGCCCTTACAGAAAAGAACGAAGAAATTAAGCACTAAGCTTTCTGCAGACCTCTCTCTCTGAGGCTGACTTCTGAAACTGTGAGAAAGTCCCCACTCCCAAACGAAGGCTTCAAGATGGAAATTACAGAGGCGCAGCTTTTTATAATTAACAATATCATTGCATCACTGGCTAATGCCTTTTCCAATACCCTGACACAGCCTGAATCTCCGCCACAGCCATTTTCCACCCATCAGGTTTTTAGTAAGGTTTCCAGACCCTGGAGAAAGAAAGCCCGGCGCCGAGAACCTACCTTTTAAATCCTGGCATGTCCAAGATGCGCGAGGAGAAGAGGCAAAGGGGGAGAGAAAGCTCCCAGGCGGGACCCTCGGAGGAGTTCTGCGCTGCGGCTGCGCTGGGCCGGAGGGGCTCGCGGGGATTTTATTCCAGAGGGGCCCAGCGAGTGATGGAGAGGGCAGGGGGACAGCCTGGGTGCTCCGAGCCACTGGAGAGCCCTCGGAGCAGGCACCTGGTTTCGCTTAGCCCTCTTCAGTAATTCAGCATTAAACCAATTGGAGGAGGAATGTTAAAAATGAACACTTCATTTTCTAAGTATGTTAAACAATGCAAATGGGGCCTCAGTCTGGACACAGCTGGTTCAGATTACAGCGCTCACCAACTGGCTAGACTCCTCACAACAATCTTGGGGCGTCTGCCAGGGCCAAGTGCTCGGCGCTGGGAGGAGAGCCCGGTCCCGGCCGCACTGGGCTGCGAGCACCTCGGCTGGAGGCGCTGGGCGGGCAAGTGCAGGGGCGTGGGCCGGGGAGGCCTCCGCTTCCCACCCGGGGCGGGGCGCGCGGGAGGGGGTGGCGCGCCCGGCTGGGCTGCGTGGCACCAGGACCCTCAGGGACGCGATCGCGCTGGGACAAGAGTGACTTGCGCTCACGACACTCGCAGTTGCAGGGACTAGAAACGTAGAATTGATTGGGAAACCAGAACCTATGAAGCCAAGGTTTGGGGCGAAGGGTGGGAGGGGGTGGGGAAGAGGAGGAGGCTGGAATCCCGCGGATGCTCACTTCAGGCCCCGACGGTAACCAGGACACCGTTTTTTCCGGGTCCTTGTCCCTGGATTCCTTCTAGCATTTTCTGGCTTTAATTAAAAAGTGTCCCTTGGCTTGAAAGTGACTTTGACAAGTGGAAAGGTGTTTTGCAAAAGAGGAGTGGGGGAAAGCGGGATGATGAACAACACCCAAGTCCTGTAGTGGAGGTGTCAAACTATTTTTTTCTTTCTTTTTTTCGAAATTTGGAACCTTTTCATTAAATGAAATTGGACCAAGAACACTCTAGGAAAGACACAAGTGGACTGGTGGTGGTCCAAGCCCTTTTTACTCATCTCCACTTTCTCCTGGACTCCTCAAAACCCTAACTAACAGCAAGCACACAGCTCCTCTCCATCTACCCCAACTCTGTGCCGCAGGAATCTCCTCTACTTTATTACAAATGGGGATCGTGGGGGTTTGGTAATTTCCTCGAGGTCACACAAATATTCCTTAATACCACTGGGCCTTCCGAGTCTGCATATTTAGTTTAGCCCTCTCAAAGGACATTGTATGTGGGAATTAAATGGAATTCTACTGAACAAGAAGAGCAGAATATTGATAGTTGTGGAAGCTGAGTGTCTATTTACTCTGTTTGAAATTTCTAATATTACTTAAGATTTATTGTTCATCTCTCCCACTGTTTATAACAGCAGAAGGTAGTAAACCTCTAGGGCTCATTAGTGAGACACCAATAGAGTTAATATAAGGGATTTCCAAAAATAGATAATAAATATAAAGTGCAATCATTTTTTAAAAAAAAGCTAGACACATAAGACTACATACTGACGGATTCCATTAATGTAAGATTTGAAGTCAGGTTGTGCGGGGAGGGGAGGGGGTGTACAAAAGGAGCCTTCCGGATACTAGTAATGTTCTAATTATCAGTGTGGGTCTGCTTACAGAGGGTGTGTAGACTTGGAATTTGTGAAGTCCTATGTGTGTTATGACTTATTTATATTAAAAAAAAAAGACTGAAGAGCCTTCTTTTTTTTTATTGGTTGTTGAAAACATTACAAAGCTCTTGACATATCATATTTCATACATTAGATTCAAGTGGGTTATGAACTCCCATTTTTACCCCAAATACAGATTGCAGGATCACATCGGTTACACATCCACATTTTTACATAATGCCATATTAGTAACTGTTGTATTCTGAAGAGCCTTCTTATGTGCTAATATTAAAGAATTTAATATATTAAATATATATATTAAATTAATATATATTAAATATATTAATATATATTAAATTTAATATATTAATATATTAAAATTTTAATATTAAAGAATTTCCAATATATTTTGTGGGTCAAAACTGCAAAATATTAGTAACTCCACATAGATCAATCTAATACATTAATGTAAAAGTACAAGTCTACCATATATGCAAAAAGTAAATAAAACCATGATATACGGGAAAAGGGAGTTATAGAACTGTATGTAAAGCATGCCACCATTTTCAAAATAAAAATTTTGAAAAGTTCTTGCTTGTATGTATACAGAAAAGATATCTCCAGATATCACCTGAAAGGTGCATGAGAAACTGTTGCATGGTTTCTCTCAGTCATCTCAAGTTACTATAATTATTACCACAGACTAGGTGTCTAAAGGACCAAGGTATTTCTCACAGTTGTGGAAGCTGAAGTCCAAGATCAGCGTACCAGCATGGTCTGGCTCTGGTGAGGGCCTTCTTCCAGGTTGCAGATGGCCTTCTCTGTGCCTTCACATAGTAAAAAGAGGGAAACTGGAGGGAGGAGGGGTCTTTGATCCCACTCATGAGAGCTGCACCTTCATGATGTAAGTACCTTCCAAAGGCCCCACCTGCTGATACCATCATATTGGGAGTTAGGATTTCAACAGGTTCATTCTGGAGGAATATAAACATTCAATCTACAGCAGAGTCCTAGGAAGGAATTTGGGTAGAGAGTGGGAGAAGAGATATGAGAGGCAAATTATCTTCGTTGCTCATCTTTTGGTATAATTTGAATTTTGTACATGTACATACATTTCCTAGTCAAAATATGAGATTAACTTATTTTATGCAGATATTGTGTTTATGTAGGACTATTTGTGGAGGCAGGGAATTTTAAATCACTTGGTACCCCACAGACACTACCAACTTTCCTATAGGTTCGGGAAGTGGAGGAAATCCATGTACCTGTTTTCTACATGAGCAAATGGAAGACCCCCAAATCAAAAATGTCTAGGGACCTTTCTTGGACCAGAGATCATTTCCATGTTAAAATTGTAGGGCTAGAATAAATGCATAAATGTAAAGGGGTATCATCCACGTACCAATGAAACCCAATTTCCTCACCATAACAGGGCAGGGAGACGATCAAGTGATTTTTTTTTTCAAAAAGGTTTGATATGGGAAGCTGGGTTGGGGCCTTGTAAAATTAGGCATTTAATTATATACTTTATTAATATTAAGTAGAGAGAGAATGAGGGCTGTCATAAAAGACGTTGACCTGAGTCTTGCATTTATCACTTACCAGTTGGGCACTTTGGACAGGTCAGTTCACCCCTCCACTTTGTGGTTTCCTCATCTGCAAAATGGAGATAATGTTTCTAACTCGCAGGATGATTGTGGGAAAGAAATAAAAGTTAGTTATCCTCTTGATGGTTACTGTGTCCAAACTTCCACCCCTACACAACCTCCTCCAAAATATCTTTGCTAAATAGTAACTTAGCCATTTCTAAAGCCAAAAAAAAAATCAGTCTCACTATTGAACAGCTCAAATTTTAGTGCTGTCATGAGTTGAACACAAGTTGGGTTCCCTGGTTTCCTTCCATCGGTCCTAATTCTCCCCTCTGCAACCATAGGCCAAGCTCTCTTCTGCCTAACAAGCTTCCCATTCATGAACGCAGTTCATGCTATTACAAGAATCCCCCCTTATCCATTAAAAGTTGGCTGCAGTCAACCATAGTACAAAAATATTAAGTGGAAAATTCAAAAAATGATTCAGAAGTTTTAAATTGCATGCTGTTCTGAATAGTATGATGAAATCCTGCCCTGTCCCACTCCATCTGCTCAAGATGTGAAACATCCCTTTGTCCTGCTGGGTTATTCAGTTTTTCACCACTTGACAAAATACCTGAGAAAATGACCTAAAGGAAGAATGGTTGTTTTGGCTCAGGGTTTCAGTTCACATTCAGTTAACTCCATTGTTTCTGAGCCTGGTGAGACAGAATACCAGGGCAGAGGGAATGGGGGCACAGGGCTCTTAACTCCTGGTAGACGGAAAGGAGAGAGAAAGAGAAATTCAGGGGACAAGATATAGTCCCCAAGGACCCCCTCCTTTCAACTCCTACAGTTCTCCCCGCCAATAGTCCATTCAGCTACGAATCCATCAATGGATTAGGTTTTAGCCCTTGTGATCTGATCAGTTCCCAAAAGCCCCACCTCTGAACATTGCTTTATTGGGATCCCTACTTTGCAACAAAAAAAATTTTTAAAACACCTGGAAAAGGAAGTGGTGATCTCTAGGAGCCAGCAAGGGTCATTCAGCAGGTCCTGCCAAAGGACACTCTCTCTTTTTCTTTTCAAAAAGAGCCTTCAACACATGACCCTTTAGAGAATGTTTCAGATCCAAACCATAACACCAGCACACCTAGCCACATGTATACACCACCTGCCCCTTGGTTACAGAGCCACCTTGGTTGTCAGAGTCACTGTCATAGTATTACAAGTCCTTGTGGGAAAGTAGCACTATTTTACTTCAAATGTCTCCAAAGCACAA